AAAAAAAAAAATTAAAAAATTAAAAAATAGGACTTTCAAGAAAATACATTAGGCTTTTGGTATTTATTAGACTAAAAGTGTTGAACTGAGTAAAGTGCTATTCTAAAAACGTGTTCCGAAACAAATTTTACAATGGTACAATATCAAGTAGTCCAACACTACTAACTGCTCTGCTTATGAGATTGTCATGCCTTCAGTATCTTATTCTCTGCTAAGTGCTACCAATAGTGATTGGATTTGTGTGTTTTTCGACTTCGAGATGGCTCAGTTGCCTGAACGGATCACTGAGTTATTGCATCATGCGAAATTGAACGTGCATTTGGAAAATTCGGAGTCATCAGAATCTTTTTAGTCCGTAGATACTAGATGATTGTGTTCGAATTTAATTAATTTCCTCAGTAGTAACAAAATATATCCCTGGTACGTGAAGGGGGTTATCGGGATTCAAGAAAAGGCCCTCTGACCATTACTTTCGAACGAAAGGCAAGTAACTTCTGATTTAGAATATTACTTGGTTAGAAGTCGATAGCTGTGAGATTGGTATAGAGTATTGCTGTATTATTATGGAAAAAGCCTTACAATTTTAGGAACAATGAAGGAAAAATTGATTTTGGCAGAGAAGTCAATAGTATATTCAGCTCTGAAAGAACGGTGTGAATTAAAAACATATGACTCCTATAGTTCAATGGCTTGATGTGTTCTGCTAGGCCACTCCCAAGTGCAGCGTTTGCTCGTCTTTTGGTTTACTTAGACCTGCGGTTTTCGTAAAAGTTCTTCTGGATGAATGGGATATTCTTCTAACGTTTGGCGAAAAAGAAAGAAGAAAAAAATGTTGCTTGAAGAAAAGCAATGAAATGATCCCACATGTATTTCAATTTTCAACCTCGGACGATTATATGTTATCTTATTGTTTTGGTGGATGCTCGTCGACCCAACCCCTCTCATGACCAATGCCTTCGACAAATGATCTTGAAGTCGAAGCTTTTGTTACCGTTCATATAACTTTGGTGTAAATGACTAGCCGTTAGAAGTTCTTTCTTTTCTTTTTTACTTTTCTTTTCTCAAAACGAACGAGGTTCCACACTTGCTGTGAGTTCTTCAAAAACAAGCTGTCCAGGTCTGTGCTTTCACATCAAATTTTGTCCAATAAGATAAGATCGCGATCGCGATTCGCTCGTTTTGTTCGTGTTTGCCTGAGTATATGTCCTGCTAATCGTGCTCTCACTTTCGAGATTTTCGTCATCTTCTGGTTATATGCCAAAACGTCAGCCATATCTTATGCAGAATATTTAGTCATGTGGAAAACATTTTCTAGCTGCAATCTCAATCGCAAATGCTGGTGGCCCAGGGAATTAATGAATTAGTACAACATAGATAGAACACATTGCAATAAAGTAGTCTCCATAAAAAACATTCATTGAAACAAAATATATGAATAAATTTTCATAAATCACAAAAATAACATCAAAGCATTTCATGTGACCAGACTTGTATGGGAGAAAAATGGAATGAAAAGACAACTTTTGCTAAAAGAACAATGAAGGTAAAGAAAAAAAAAAAGAAAAAAAAAAGACAGAATTAAACAAATACACAACACAACACTTATCCTGCCCATAAACAGCCTTCAATCAATATACCATAAGCCCAAACTTGTTTATTGATCTCCCAAACTATATGTTTTCAGACAAAAAAACTCATGCTTTAGGCTTGAGGACTTTCACAGTCTCCCAGGTGAAATCCGGGTCATCACGGCCAAAGTGACCATAAGCCGCAGTCTTCTGGTACCTGAAGTTTCCTCCCCTCAACAAATCGAGGTTAATGGCAATCATCCCTGGCCTGAAATCAAAGTTCTCCTTAATCAAAGCTAAGATATCCTTGTCTGGAATCTTGCCCGTCTTGTAGGTATCCACAAACACAGACAACGGCTCAGCCACACCAATAGCATACGAAACCTGCACGATACACCTCCGAGCAAGACCAGATGCCACGACACTCTTCGCCGCCTGCCTCACAATGTACGCACCACTCCTATCCACCTTTGTTGGGTCCTTCCCCGAGAAAGCACCTCCCCCGTGAGCACCCCACCCACCGTACGTATCAATGATAATCTTCCTTCCAGTGAGGCCCGCGTCACCATGTGGGCCACCGATCACGAAACGGCCTGACGGGTTCAGATGGAAGATCGTGTTCTCATCAAGATATTGGGCCGGGATCACGGGCTTGATAACATGCTCTTTCAGATCGGCCGCGATCTGCTCGTTCGTGACCGTCTCATCATGCTGGGTCGAGATTAGAACCGTGTGGACTCGGATGGGGACCATTGCACCATTCTCATTCTTGTACTCGACGGTGACCTGGGTTTTCCCATCGGGCCTCAGCCACGGGCAGGTCTTGTTCTTCCTGACCTCAGTCAGCTTGGCCCCGAGCTTAGTGGCGAGGACATGAGTCAAGGGCATGAGCTCTGGGGTTTCATCAGTGGCATAGCCAAACATATGGCCTTGATCGCCAGCCCCGATCTCCTCAGGCTTCTTGGTGAGATGGCCATGAACACCTTGAGCAATGTCGGGGGACTGCTGCTCAATGTTGACGAGGACTTTGCAGTTGTCAGCATCCAGGCCAACGTCTGGGGAGATGAAGCCGATCCCACGGCAAGTGTCTCGGACGATCTTCTCGTAGTCAACCTGAGCTTTGGTTGTGATCTCGCCGAATACCATGACCATGTTGGTCTTGGTGCAGGTCTCGCACGCGACCTTGCTCTCAGGGTCTTGTTCGAGGCAGGCATCGAGAATGGCGTCCGAGACCTGGTCACAGAGCTTGTCCGGGTGTCCTTCATTGACGGATTCTGAGGTGAAGAGGAAAGTGTCCATTTTTCGTATCTGGAAAATGCGATTGTTATGTATGGTTAAGTGTTTGGGAAACTTGAATTTAAAACAAGTATGAATGATTGATCGAAGTGAACATATTTATCGACAAAATGAAATATAAACTTCGATTACTCTTCATCCCGGATCGGCTAAACAGCGAGATCTTGGGATAAAGATTAGATGAGACCATGTCTCATTGTCGATAGATGAACCATAACATGAATTAAATCAAATAAGGGCAAGCGAAAAACATAATCTTCTATTGTACATCAGATTTGCTATAGCAAAAAAAGGCAACTTCCCTTCATTCATGAAAATAAGAACAAACCGAGAATATGTCGAAAGAAACATAGATCAACAAAGAGATAATCAAATAAAACTCAGATCCTTAAATGACAAATCACAATGTTCCTCAGAGAAGAAGAAATGATGCCGAACCAGATCTGGATCACATGACGGCATAGCACTAAGAATTAATGGCATCTCATATTGAAATCTAACATACTGTAAAAAATTCAAACTGTTTCATCACATCTTCTTGCTAGAATCTCATGAAATTATCAAATTCGCCAACAAAAATGAAAACCTAATCATACGCAGGCCAAAAAAAATGACATTTCACAATCGAAAATCACACATAATTGAAAAACTCCACACCGTTTCATCACATTTCTTGCCATAATCTCATCCTATTATCAAATCTTCAACATTAAATCCTAGAAATCAAAACTCAATCATAAACAGACCAAAACAATCAAATCATGGATCCTCAGAGAAACAAAACCACCATTACCAGATCTAATACAGCAAAAACAAAAGAAAAACAAATTCTAAAGTCAATCGTCCCTACCTTCTCTCGTAGAGACAAGCCCTTTAGATCTGCGGAGCGAAAATGGATTAGGCGAAGAGAGAGAGGAGGAGAGCAAGGCACAAATGATCTTCACCTCAGACCCCGCATATATATAGAGACGGATCCGAACGACTCGCTCTCGATGGTGGGCCCAAGAAAAACGAGATGCTGCCAGCTGGCAATTGAAGGGTTGATCGACGGTGTGTGACGCTTTGAGCTTGGAAGTTGGGTGGTTGGTAATGGTGATTGTCCAAATACATTTCTGACGCGCACATGTGTTGTACCCGGTGCAGCTAAAAGTGTACGTGGGTTGGTGAACTCTCTTCAGCCGTAAAAAATGGAAATTTTATTGATTGGGTATATTATTATTCCAACATTGATTTCAGCGCAGCAGGTAAATGGAAAAATATTGATTGGAAGGAGTGGCCATCAGCTGCGCCAGTTCATGACCCGGACCGACACGCCGAGTCGTCGGGCCTCAAAAGTTGGGCTTGGAACCGGCCCTATTTTTACCTATAAGAGCCGGTTCATTGAACCAATCGAACGCGACGGTTCCATTTTTTTTAATTAAAAATAAATAAAAAAGTAATTTGGACTCGTATTTTGTTCCAAAACCGGCGGATCTCAAAAAAAATACAAAATTGATCCGGAACCAGTCCGTTTTTACCACAGGTTCAGTTCGAAAACCGATAGATCCAGGTCGGTTCCATGGACCGGTTCGGTATTGTCAACTTACTTGGAGTTGAGTGCACGTAAAAATTGATTAATTGAAAAATATTTATTGGTATTACTAGTAAATTCGATATTACCCGTGAACTAGCCTAGTGGAATTTAAATTTGGGTCAAATACATACATAATTAAATTAAATTATTTTGTTAGTGTAAAACGAACTTGCCTGTAGCCAGCCATAACCCCGCTGTAGCTCGGTGGCTTCCTAATAAATAAATTTCAGTTTTTTTTTTT